GCCTCAGTCCCTGCCTCACCCTCTCCCTCCGCCACCGCTCCTCTCACTTGTTGAGTTGAGTCCTGCAGTCCCCCCCGCCCCACCACCCGCCACCCTGTCGCCCGGTGACCTCACATGCCTCTGATTGGCACCTCTGGAGACTTGGTGACGCTGGCTTCTTCAGCTCTCTGTCTCGTCCCCTCCTCTATCACTGGTGCCACATGAATACCTGTGTAGGCACCAGCACTTGTCGCCCAGTGCAGCCCCTCCCTGGCCACACAGGACAGGCACACTCCCTCAGTAGACTCTGGGCGTCGCCGGAGCTGGGCAGGGTGCTGGGCAGAGGGGCGCTGCGCTTGCCCTGGCGCTCAGCCCGTAGTCACTTCCGCAGCGGCAGGCAGTGGTTGTAGGAACAAGCAGGCTTCTGGGGGAGCCCTCTAGTGTCTGTGAAAAGTTGGGTTTAACTCGAAATTTCTAGGGTAATGATGGTTTTAAATTAAGCCTCATACTACTTTGGGGTGGGCCAAGTTAAAACTGCCAAACATTTGAAGTCTCAGGAATGAGGAATGAGGAAGTCAAGGGCGGCCAGGACAGACCACGCGAGAGACTGCGTCCCCAGCAGGCGATGGCTGTCCTTGCTCTGACCTGGTCTGTCTCGCAGTGCCTTGTGTCCCGTGACAGAGGCCCAGGAGGAGGGCCTGGCCTGCTTCCCCACTTGTGGTCCATGGCGGCCAGTGCCCAGCCCAGACACCCGGCTTTGTCCGGGTCTCAGGAGCAGGTACACAGAGGGACAGTGCTATGACTTACTACACATCGTGTCTTTTAGTTCTCAAAGTGATACCCTAGAGAAATAAATCACAAATTTAAGATTTATTCTTTATCGATTTGATGTCGAAAGTGGGGTGTGGTGAGGCAGGTAGTTGGTTCCTACCTGTGACCGGTTTCCCGCCCTTCCCGCTGCCAGCTGGTTATGGAAACAGATTTTAAAGCTGTGGCCGGCAGAGGTTTCCTGGAGCTGCGTCTGATGTCCATGCCCCAGGTCCGCAGGATGCGCACACTGCCTGCCTGCGGTGCCAGCGGGCGGGAGGGGCTGGGCGCACCACGCAGCTTGCTCCTGGGCGCCGGCAGTTCTGGCAGGGTGGTGGGTGGAGAATTGGGGCTCCTGGTGGGGTGCAAGGGGACTTCTGATTTCTGGAGGAACTGTTAGGACGGCCGGGTGTGGTTTTCTAAGATGTTACCAGATGTTCACTGTCGTCGTCATCATAACTTCATGAATTTGCTCGTTGCTGTTCCAGGCAAGTTGTATGGGAGAGGCGCAACAGATGATAAGGGGCCAGTGGCTGGCTGGATGAACGCCCTGGAGGCCTTCCAGAAAACAGGTCAGGTATGTTCCCCACGTCGGGCTGTGCCTGAGTCATCAGATTCCCTCCAAGTGCCACAAAGCTGGCCCTGCTGTCCCCAGAACAGCTCGTAAAGCTCCAACATCCCTGGGCTGTGAGACAGCCCTCTCACCCACGCCGTCAGCACCGTGACGCAGAGTTACGGTTGTAAGTTGCAGTCTGGCTTCAGAAACTCTGCGGATGTGATCGTGGCGGTGTCCAGCGGCCACACTGCTGATGCTGCAGCGGGGACCCAGGCCACACATGAGCGGCCCGCCAGGGAGCGTGCTTGCCCCCTCGCATGGGCTCTGCGCCGTTACCAGCTTCTTAAATGCACACTTTGTTTTAAAGATACATTTAAAAAATATTAAGTATCTATTCTTTGTTGAAAGTTGCCTGTAAAATATAGAGAAGTAGAGAGGAAAAAGTTGCTTAGAATCTCAGCATTTTGTTGCGTGCCAATCTTTTCAACTGTTTTTAACCCAATTGTGATAGTATATAGATGGTTTTTGCGTCTTTTATCTCGTATTGTGATAAAAGCAGTTATATGACAAGCATTTTTGTCAGCATGAAGTGGTAGATTCGAACAGGGTCGTGGAACCTCTGGTCCAGGCATCCATTCTGCACAGGAGAGAGCCAAGGCCCAGAATCTGTGGATGGCGGGGCCCATGTGGCCACCACGTGCTGGGCACAGGAGCAGGGATGGCTGTCCATCCTCCAGGGCCCTCAGGGCCTGGGGCAGCCGAGGGGAGAAACGGCCATGTGTAGGGCAGAGCCAGCCAGAGCAGCTCCGCTTACATCTGTCCCACACACCTGTCCCACACACTGAGGTCCGGAGAAGGATTCCATTCGTGGGCCTGAGGGGGGAAGGCAGGCCATGCTGGGAGCGGTGCCGCCTGGGGCCAGTCCTGGCCAGGTCTCTGCAGGCTGGGGTCCGAGCGAGGCCTGTGCCGCACCGTGCACCCCGGGACACCGCAGAGCGGGGGCAGGTGGACAGCGGTGTATCAAAGTTGTCAGCGCTTCAGGATAGGGGCCTTGGTGCAAGAGCGTGGAAGCCATCATGCAGAAACGCCTTCTGAGTTAGGAAAAGGCTCTCCCTCCCTCAGGGCGGAGCAGGGACCAGGGCGGCTTTGTGTCACAGCCTGTTACATCAGTGCAGGCATGCTGGGTGCGTGCAGAGACCCCGTGCCTAGGAGGCCTGGTGACACAGGAACTCCTCAGAAGGAGTTCTCAGGATGTGACTGTGGCTGGAACAAGGCTTGTCCCCTGACAGCCCAGCGCCTGGGGACTGGGTCACTATAGGATGCACACAGCCCCAGTGGCTGGTCTGGAGGAAGTCGCATGTTCGAAATTGGTGATTTCAGAGTACTCGGCGACTTCCTGTCTATTATTTCTAAGAACTAAAGGTTCACGAGCGCCGAACGCCTGCCAATGTTCTTCCTTTCACAGGAAGTTCCTGTCAACATTCGCTTCTGCCTGGAAGGCATGGAGGAGTCGGGCTCCGAAGGCCTGGATGAACTGATCTTTGCCCAGAAAGACACATTCTTTAAAGACGTGGACTACATCTGCATCTCCGACAATTACTGGCTGGGGAAGAAGAAGCCATGCATCACGTATGGTCTCAGGGGCATTTGCTACTTCTTCATCGAGGTACCGTGCCGCGCTCGGTGGTGGTGTCCCCAAGCCACAGTCAGCTTGTTCCCCACTAGCTCACGTGTGGGTACCAGGAAGCTCCACAGGCATGAGGGAGGAACACAGTCCTAGCTCCCTCCCGTGGCATAAGCCCTCGTAACACTGCAGGCCCAGAGGCCGGTAGAAGGCAGCGTCACCGGCTTCCAGCTAGAGTGCTCTTCACGGTGTTGTCTGGAAGCACTTGAGAAAAGATGAAATGCTAGTCCATTTAGAGGAGAGAATGCGTGCAGTGCATTTTAAAGACTTCCTTTTAAAAGTTAGAATGTTCGTACTTCCGCCCATAAGCTTTGTCCTTTGACTGAGGATCGGAGGGAGTGGGGATGTTGCCCTCAGCACAGAAGACGAGGGGGACAGGCCTGCGCTCACTGTCGGGTCAGCCGGGCCTCGGGCTCTCGTCTGCAGAGGAGGGTGGGGGTTCCTGCCACACAGGTTAGCTCCTGCGCGCAAAGGCGGCTTACAGGCCGGAAAGAGCTAGAAACGATCGCAGTTGCTGCACTCACCGCTCACTCTGGGCCAGGCACCCTTCTGCCTGTTGCAGACAACCTGGCAAGGACTCAGCAGCTGGAGGGAGCACCTTCCTGTGCCATGCCGCGGGGAGGAGCCTAAGGCCATGCAGGCCCCACCCCAGCTGGTCACACAGCTAGTCAGTGCTGGCCGGGGTCTGAGCCCCTGTCCCTGGGCTCCAGGTCCTTGCTGGCTCTTTTTCATAGTCTCTCATCCTTTCAGCACTGGGCGTAGGGTCTTCACAGAAACTCCAGAAAGGACCTGAGAGCTTGACGAGTCCCCCACAGCGTGCCTCCTCCTGTGGGCATCACTCCTGGCTCAGCTGTGGGCAGCATTCCTAGTTTACTTGGACTGGCATTTCCAAGGGTGTTTTTTTGTTGTTGCTTCCAAAGTTTTGTAATTTAGGGAATACTTTGTTTTGATCGTTGAGGGCAAATCTTGATTTAAAAAATTGCCTGTCAGGTCTTGTGAACGTTCTTTGTTCAATTTACTGTCACATGATGATAATAAGCTTCCGCTAAGCAGCCAAACAGAGGGGCCTTTGTTTCCGTCCAGGTGGAATGCAGTGACAGAGACCTGCACTCTGGCGTGTACGGGGGCTCGGTGCACGAGGCCATGACAGACCTCATTGCGCTGATGGGTGAGCGGGGCTTCGGGGGGTGCGGGCGGTTTGGGGGAGAGGTCGGAGTGGGCCTTTTCCAGGCCGCCGTCGGCGCTGGTGCATCCAGGCAGTTTTCACGAGCCACTTCTTGTCACGCTCTTTCTCCTTCCCCGCTCACTGCTCCCTGTAAAGACTGGACGCTGACGCTTCACTTCTGCCTCCATCTTCCTCACACCCTCCCTTCCCTGTGTCACCAAACCCTGCCTCGCCTCCAAGACCAGCTTGGCACCCCTGGCTCCTTCCCCCAGACAGGCCACGTCCCCTGGAATCACACGACTGTCTTAGCTCTGGACACGGTGTGTGTCCTGTTCCTCAGAGCGCATCTGCTCCAGTCTGCGATATGTGATAACTGGCCACAGGGAGGTCTCCCGGTGGCCAGCTCTATGAGAGCGAGGCCCCAGCTCCCTCGCCTGTTTCCCTCCCCGGGCGGACGATGGCTGCCACGCGTGTGCAGTCGGGAGGCCACTCTGCCCGCGCAGCGTCCCCTCCGTAGCCGGGAGCAGCTGGTTTCTTGCGGGCAGTGCACCGAGAGAGAGCTTTCGGATAGCGTGCTTTTCAGAGGAGGCCCAGTGTGCCCTGGTCTGGGACAGGACGGTCTACCTGCCCTTCCGTGTCTCAGTCTCCGTACCTTAAAAGTGGGGTTGGTGCTGCTCGCCTCGCTGAGTCCTTGTGGCGGATAAATGTCACAAGAAATACGTGTGCCCACGCCGTCACGTGTGCCAGGACGGCTGGCCCTCGGCCCGCGGCTGCACGGCCTGCACCCTGGTCCTGCGGTGGGCACCGCTCGCCCTGCCGCCTGCGTGCTGAGTGCCCTCGCCCGCTCTCCCCAGGCTCCTTGCTGGACAGGAAGGGGAAGATCCTCGTCCCCGGCCTCAGCGAGGCCGTAGCGCCCGTGACGAAGGAGGAGCTGGAGCTGTACGACGAGATCGACTTCGACCTGAAGGAATACGCCAAGGACGTGGGGGCGGAGACCCTGCTGCACAGCTGCAAGGTGCCCAGGCCACCTGAGTGCCCTGTGCGGGGACGCCTGTGGGCGGGAGCCAGAGGGGCTGGCAGAGATGCGGGCGTGTCCGTGTGCCTGGCCATCGGGTGGTACGGGACGCACTCGGGCCGGAGCTGGGAGCTTTTCGGCAATGTCCAGAGTTTGTTTTGATGACATGGGACTGGAGAACGTGTGCTGAGAAGCCCGGTGAGGGCAGCACTTGCTCGTTTGCATGAGGAGGACGCTGTGCTCAGCACTGGGCCGGTGGTGACTTCCTGCCTGACGGAGCCCATACAGGGGTGGCACCTGTTAGCACAAACGTTTACTTCCCCGCTGGGAGAAACTCGGCTCTGGACCGTCTCTAGTTCCTGGTTTCCGGGTCTGGATACGAGTGCACTGTGTAGCCAGCATTGCTCGAACTCCAGCGACAGGCTCTGGGGGGACAAAGGGTGCATGGCCAGCTGGCTCAGCTCTTGGCTTCTGTCTCTCCAAGAGACAGGTGGGCAAAGACCTCGAGAGGGTGTGTGGAGGCTGCACGGGTGGTCCAGAGCTGTGTGTGCCTGCAGGGGGCAGTGAGGCCTGCAGGGGATAGGCGGCCAAGCCGGGAGCAGGGGGAGGGCGCACATGAGGGCTGAAGATGCCTGGTAAAGGCTGAGATCAGCCGAGGCACGCTGTGCCCTCCCAGGAGGTGGCGGTGTGACCAGCTGTGAGAGGAGCGTGAGGCTCCCAGACCCCAGGACAGTGGTGAGGGCCAGGTGGGGGCTGGGTGGGGGCTGAGGCCGGGAGGCCGCCATGGGAGGGGACACTGGGCTGGCATGGGGGCAATGAGTAGGTGGGAGAAAGTCGCCTTGGGCGACCATGTGGCGCGGAAGCTTTGCAGGTGGAGCCGGGAGACGGTCCTGGCCCGTGGCGGTCAGTGGGCCCCAAAGCCACGGGCGGTCTGGGAGGGACGAGTCTGGGAAAAGCGGGTCTGAACCAGCGTCTGTCACCTTCTGCACTGCTGCATTCAGAGTGACATTTGCTGTTACGTAAGGTGTCACGGTGGGGCCACCTTACGTGTGTGGCTGTGTCACAGAGCAGCCCTGGGGGCCCCGTCGGTTTCTCTGGGCCGGCCAGCTGCTCAGGTGGCTGCGCGTCCTCTCCTGACCCGTCTTGTGCCGCTGCTGGGACACACAGGGCACAAGAGGCAGTAGTATCGTTTATGTGCTCGGGAGACAGAAGGCCGCTTCATGCCAGTCCCCTCGGTAGAAGGTGACGTTGCTTATCCATGGTCACTGGGCTCAGGACGCAGGGGGCTGCCCTGGCTCTCCTCCCCCCATGGGAACTAGCCCCTGTCCCGGGTCCTGTGGGCCTAGCAAGGGGTTCACAGATGGCCTGCTGTGCCTCCCTCTTCCTCCTGGCACCTCTGGCCCCACAGGAGCGCCATGTCTGTGGCACCCTGCCCCCAGCTTCTGCAGAGTTGGCAGGAATCACCAGCAGTGAAGAGCTGCGGTAGGGCGCAGACATGCCACCCGAGGGGCCGACCAGAGTGCGGAGCCCCCTCTGTGGGCTGGGGGGCGGGCGCCTCTGCCAGTGCTGCAGGCTCTGTACTCCTCCCTTGCTCGTGTGGCCCCCGGTTGATGGCTGGTGACACGGAGGGACCTCCCAGATGGCACTCCCATCCTCTCCAGCAGCAGACACTTGTCCCCTGACCCGCTCTGCCATTTCCTGCAGAAGGACATCCTGATGCACAGGTGGCGGTACCCATCCTTGTCCCTCCACGGGATCGAAGGCGCCTTCTCTGGTACGGGGGCCAAGACCGTGATTCCGAGGAAGGTGGTGGGCAAGTTCTCCATCAGGCTTGTGCCGAACATGACTCCGGAGGCTGTCGACCAGCAGGCATGTGGGGCACGGGGGTACGGGGAACCAGCAGAGGCTCGGGGTGCAGAAGACTTCTCCTAGGGCTGCGGACAGCTGCAGAGACGCCAACCCCAAACCCACGCATTCCCACTTCTCGATTCCGGCCAGCTAGATTAGATAATTACTAGAATAAGCAGGTCAGAAACTGATTAAAGATAAAGGCCACATAAAAAGTGTCACATATAAGTGACATTCCTCCCTGCTGAAGCATGCCAAATCTTGACCTGACCTCATCCTGAGGCTTCAGATCGGATGCTGACTTTGAGTCAAGTATGTTATGGTAAGAGTCCAGGGGAGTGACTTCTGGGCTGTGGTGAGGAGCAGAGCGGAAGGTTCCAGAAGGAGAGGATCCAGAGGGGGCAGGTTCTGGTTGCTGTAGGTCAGCCAGGCTTTCGGGGAGCAGCCACCGGGATGGGCAGGTTTCCTGGGGTGGGGGGCTCAAGGCCTTGCCTGTTGCAGAGAAGCCGAGGATCGGGATTCTGGCATCAGGACGTGTCCCTGGGTCAGCACCAGGCTCAATTTTTGGTCTGGATGTGATTGTTCTTATAAAGCAAATCGAAGAAAATTTTTAACATTTGGTTCAAATATTATCATCATGTGGGAACATTTCTATAAAGGGTAAATTGCTTGAGATTAAAACATTACCTTTTACTTTCAAATGACTGGATTTTGTTTCTTAAAATCCCTTTTTCTATTATCACAGTTATGCAGTTCAGTGTTTAGCAGCAGAAAATGAGAGCCCCTGTAGATTCGTAGACCAGCTGTAGGCCCGTGGTAGGCCCGTTGTAGATGCGCTGCAGACTCAGTCTGCGTTCGCTGTAAGCCTGTCGTAGACTCGTGGTAGACCCTCATAGAACAGATCCCTGGCACTGGATCAGGTGCCAGGCCTTATGACACTGTGTCTCCTCTGTGTGTGGTTCAGGTCACAAACTACCTGACAAAGAAGTTCGCCGAGCTGCGCAGCCCCAACAAGTTCCGGGTGTACATGGGCCACGGCGGGAAGCCCTGGGTGTCCGACTTCAACCACCCCCACTACATGGCCGGGAGGAAAGCCCTGAAAACAGGTAGACGTTCTCCTTGTGGATGGGTGCTGGGGCCCTTGGCGTGTCTGCTGGGGCCCTGCCGTGTCATACGGGCACATGGCTACGGGGTGACGCTCGGAGCAGAGTCGGCATGCAGGCTAGGCGGCACCCCCAGCGACTTCGCGGGTGGCCGCCGTCCCCAGGCCTGCAGGGCGGGGGATCCGCGATGGAGCCCAGCCTCGCAGCCCAGGGCTCACCGTCCCTCTTTCTTCATTTCCCCCCCAGTGTTTGGTGTGGAGCCGGACTTAACCAGGGAAGGTGGCAGTATCCCTGTGACTCTCACTTTTCAGGAGGCCACAGGCAAGAATGTCATGCTGTTGCCTGTGGGGTCAGCCGATGACGGCGCCCACTCCCAGAATGAGAAGCTCAACAGGTGAGGCTCCAGGCCCTTGGTCCTGAATCCAGGCCAGTTTCCTCGTGGGTGCCAGTGAGAAATCCTGTGACAGCCCAGGGCGTCCCCCAAGTCCCCTCCAGTTCCTTCCTCCACACCGCTGCCTGTCCTACGAAGAGAGCGAGAGGCAGCGGTTTCTGGGGACACCCCCCCTCCCCCAGTGCTCTCCACCGTCTGTCCTTGATGTGGTGACAACTGATTGGAGGCAGGGGAGACGGCCTGCGGGCAGTGGCAGCTCTTAAAACCCAGGTTTGGCCGGTGGTCTGTGTTTAGCTCTGTGCTTCACCTGCGACTCCTGAAAGGGCCTCTGCACGTCCCTGCCTGAAAGATCACAGCATCATTGCTGGCTTCACAAGCCACCTTCATGCGTCCCTGCTTTATGCAGACGTGATGGGGACCTCTGAGTTGGCAGCAGTGGGCAGAGGCCCACACAGACAGGGAGGACCAGAGGCAGCTGAGGAAGAGCTGCGGGGGACAGGAAGCAGGGGCCACCCCACGGTCATGGGTGGGCCCGTCAGGGCCGAAGACAGAGGCAGAGTCCCCGCGTGGGGGCTGAGGGACAAGACAGACCTGGATCGTAGGGCACGAGGTGGCGGCTTCAGATCCGAATGATGGGAGGGCTTTTCATAGCCAGGCACTGGGTGAGAGCGTCTGTTCTGTTGGACCGGGACCAGGGCCGGTCCCTGTGGGGCAGTCGGACTGACCTGCACTTGGGACCGGGTGTCTGGATTCTAACGGCCAGCAGAGCTCGGGGCCAGCCAGCCGAGATGGTGGGGTGCTCCCAGAATGCCATGCGTGTGCCTGGACCTCGGACACCAGCCAACACAATGACTTGTCCCTCTCCATTAGGCATAACTACGTAGAAGGAACGAAAATGCTGGCCGCGTACCTGTATGAAGTGTCTCAGCTGAAGGACTGAGGGCCCTGTGTCGGGGAGCGCCACCGAAGGAGCCCCACCCTCCCCTGTCCCCTTCCAGTTGCTCAGGAAGGCGTCTGTCCCTGTCCTCTCCCGTCAGGCCATGCACAGACTTCCCAGCGTAGACTCGGGGACACCCACCTGTCCCCAGGGGGTTACGTCCAGCAGGCAGTCGCACGTTCAGCCCTGGGGGCTTACAGATGACCCTGAATGACTGTGTCCCCAGAAAATAGGCACAGCCTAACAGCATGAGTTCTTCTGTAGAAAGTTCTGGTCGACATCCACTTGGGCTAAACAGAGGCCTGGGCGTGTCCTGGTCCCATGTCTGCCTCCCGATTCAGGGTCAGGGAGCGGATGCTTCGAGGGGCTGCCCTCTGGTCACTCGCGGTCGCATGGTGCCGTCCTCCCCGAAGACCGTAGCCAATGCTGACACCTCCCAGCGTCTTGTTGGCCCTCACACCTGAACCTAACGGGCTTGTTGGTCTGTGCTGATGAATAAAAAGTACCAGTGAAGCCTCTGGATGCGTCACTGCCCGTCCGACTTGCCCAGGGAGCACACTGCATGTGGCAGGGTGGTGGCGTGTCCCCCTCCCCAATCCCTGTGGCAGGAGAGTGCCCCCCATTCCTTACACCGCCAAGTCACCAAACATCAAATTAAACTGGTTTAAACAAAATGGAGACTTTATTGGCCCAGCTGATAAAAAGACCAGAGTAAATGAGACACTCAGGCCTTGTAAAGTCTGCGTTGCGGCCACTTTGCCGGCCATCGGGACGTGTGGCTCAGCGCTTGAACAGGAAAAGGGTGCTAGCTATTGGGCCCTCATGGCGACACTTAGTAGCACAGGGTAGTGGCACTGGAAGTCATCCTTTTAGCTCCCATGGCCTCTGACACCTGCTCCCTGAGACCGCCCCCGTCCCCGGAGGCCTGCGCACGGTGTCCTTCCTAGCCAGCCATCCCAGTCCTCAGGTCAGCTGACTCTGGGAAAGCGGGCTCGGTCACTGTGCACTCGTGGGGCCCACCCTCTGAGCCACCCGTCCAGGGGCATGCACACCAGCTTCCAGCTAGAACACGCAAGCTCTACGCGCGAAGAGGGTGTTTGTCAGTGAACGTCCCAGGAGAGCTGCGCATAGGGGAGGCTCTGGAATGGCCGAAATTACCGTTAGTTACTCCACGGCGGGAAGCCGGCCACTGGTGACAACACGGCTGCCTGGTCTCCTTGGGAAAAGGACTTTACAGGGCCACATTCCTGACCTGGAGGAACTTGGATGAGGGAACATGGAGTTCACTCTGCGCTGGTTGCTGTTTTGGTTTCAGTCAGGAAGGCGATGCTAGACCACAAGGATCTTAAACTACAATCAGTGAGGATGCAGGCTAGGCTACTGTGACGGGACCAACGGCTTCCCCGCGTCACAGGTGACATTTCTCTGCACACAGGGCCACACAGGCCGGCCCGGGCTGGCATGGTGGCTCCTCCGTGCTGGTGGCTGGGCTCCTGGATGGCGCCTCCCCCACCCTGTGTCCTCTCCTGTGCGTGACCGCTGCTGCAGCCCCTGCCTCTCCAGCTGCGTTTCACCCTGGTGTGAGGAGCAGGGAGGGGCTGTTTTGCTTGAGGGCGCAGGCCAGAGGGAGACGCTGCTTCCATTGGCATCTTACTCTTAGGAAGCAGTCACGTGGCCACTCCAAACTGCACGGGGGTTGGGGAGCCAGGCCTGGCCGAAATCCTGGGGCTCTGCAGGAGGGGAGCGTACTGGGCAGTCAGCCTTTAAGTCCTCCTCACGCCGTGGTTACCATGACATTTGTCCCAAGGAAAACCGAGAGAAGGAAACGGTATGCAGCATTAGACTCAGGGGACACTGTTACTCATTTTTCAGAGAAAATTGGGACCTCTGCCTTGGCCCCGAGGCTTTGAGGAGCATGCCGAGTGGTGAGGGGCAGCAGAGCTTGCCACCCAAAGTATGCCTTCTTTTAGATGTTGATTGTTTTAGCTGGTTATTTTTAAGAAACTAAAGACTAAAGAAAAACCTTTGACCCTCCTCACAACTGCCTACAAGAATTGAACCAGAGGACCTGCTCCAGGAAGGAGCCGTTATCATACACGACTAGTTTAACATGAACTAGGCGTGATGGGGACGAACCTCGCGAGACTTGGTCAGTCCTCTCTGTGTCCCCACAAATTTATTTACCAAACGTTTGCTTTTGCAGCTCCTCGTGAATTTCCTTCCTGCCCTTTGAAGTCCCAGACCCATCCCCCACCCCTTCTTAGCTCCAGATGGCATCTCGGCCTTAACCGCCCATTCTGTCCTCAGGTCTCATTCTTAAGAGGACCCTATATGTACACACGTCATAAATTTGGTCATTTAGTCCAGACTGAAGAACTTAGAAGAGAAGAAGGAAAATTAGCTTTTCCACGCCCCCAGTTTCGGGGAGCGGGGCAGGAGGCCGGCCTTGGCTGGATCCGTTCGCTCTAGGCCGGCTGGAGTGAGACCCTGGGGGTCGGTCCCAGGCCGGCACGAGGTAGGTGTTCTCACTATGTCGCACTCCCGCCATCTCTGGCCGTGGGGTCTCGTGGGGGCGAGAGTGGTAAGAACCTTCTTCTCGTTCTAAATTTGGATGAGCAGGAGAAAATATGTGAAAGTAGCTTTGGGGTGAAGGTGACGCGGTAAAGATGTGGTTTGGGGACTCTCGCGTCCTGCGATCCTGCCCTCGTGTGGCCGTGCCGTCTGCGCCGTCTGCCTCGCTGTTTGGAGAGCTTGGTTTTCCTCGTTGGTCTCTGGTCCCCGGGGGGTGCACGTATCGCCCCGGGGGCAGCCAGTCAAATAGAATGGGGATTCAGGGCAGCTGTGTCTAGTCGATTCATCTTTTGCCCGACTGTGCCAGCCAGCTCCCAGGGGAATTCGTTATGAGGGGTCCCGGTCCACAGAGGCCTTTGTCACTTCAACCTTCATTGCATTACTGCCTGTAGCAATAATGCCACAGGGGCTCTTGCCGTTGGACCGTCCTGGGGGTGACCTTTAGGATCCTGTGAGGGCTGCGTCCTTGGAACTCTGTCAAAGCCCCTTGCTTCCCTAGTTAGACCGTGCAAGGCTTACCGATTTGAGTCACTATTGAGATTACTAAATCCTACCATCACTGGCCAGACAATGGGTCCTTTGAATTGGGAAAACTTCTATACTGGAAAAATTTTAGAGCTCTCATTGTAAATAGCCGTTTTATTGGTTCCTATAGAAAGACCAATTTTTTAAAAAGCGGGAAGAATACAAAGAAATATAACTACCAGCCTTCTATGCAAAAACCGTTTTGGAAAGCCTTATTGAATGTTTTGCTTCAGCTTCCTCTCATGGGTCTTACAGATATTAATAAAAACATGAAGTTAATTAACGAGAATGGGGAGAGGCTGAGGGGAGTCACAGGACTCTTCCCAACAAGGTAGAAATTTTGAAAAGATTATTAAGAAATAAGGCGAATAAAGTAAATATTGATGAGAGCAGAAGAAAGGAAGCAGGAGGGGAAGTCAGGGCTTCATCCCTGCAGGGTCAGTAAGAAATGTGGGAGAGGAGTCTAACACTGAAGGGGTTGAAGCAAAGGTTTTAACAGCGCGACCTAAGATCGGGCAGTCAAAGAGAGCCCCCGCCGGTCCCCATCATCACAGCACCCCTGCACAGAGAAATGTTAAAAGCTGGAAGGCAGAAATTCCAATGGGAAACCTGACCAGCAATCGCTGGGGCTGCGGTAGGGGAGTAGCCTCCTCCTGGGTCCAGAAGCCCCTGTGCACCGCAGTGGCTCAGGTGACAGGTTGAGAGAACATAAAAATGTCATGGCCAATAAGAGTGTGAAGATTGCAGTGTTTAAGCAGACAGTACATAAAGAAGTTGTGTCAGCTTTTAATGGGAATGAGTATTAAACCTGGCTGGGGACCACTTCCCCCACGCACTGCTGGAGAAAAGAAGGCGCGTAAATCCGCCTTTCAAACAGTATAAACCAGATGTAGGAATGGAATCAGTAAGATCTCTGAGCCCACCTGGTGTGGAACGGAAGCTACAGGCTTCTGGGCCCGGAGGGGGAGGGGCGGGGAGCGGATGCAAACAGGATTTTGAAAAGCTTGTGACCTGGGTGGACGCTCTCTGTGCTTTCAGGATGCAGATGTCCCACCCCATCTTCTCTAGAACCTAAAGCCATTCCTTTAAATGCAAATGATTATTAGAAATTGGGCAAATAAAAAACCCTAAGTGTTTTCTCTACAACTATGAGTTCTGTTTGTGTTTGTGTTTGTCTGGTTTTTTTATTTTATAAAATTTATTTAAATTAGTTTCGAGTATACAGTACATTGGTTAGACATCTATAGAGTTCATAAAACGATCCCCCCAATTGCTCCCTCCCTCCCCTGGCCTCCACTTAGCATCATATTAATGCTGACTGTGTTAGTCTGTTTTATCTGCAATATATTATTTTTCTACCTCCAGATGGTATTACTGAATAAAAAAAAAAAAAATTCTTTTTTGGTAAACAGCTCTGTTTAATTGGCTTAAAGGAGTTAAGCACTTACATAAATTTTAAAATATATTACTTTAAAATCTGAAACATGTTTTACAAATTCTGGGAAAATACTTGTTATTAAAGCTAATCTGCATATTGGTTTAATTAAAACAGACATGTCTTTAGAACTGGGTATAATTAAATATACTTAATGAGTATAATTAAATATAATTAAGTATAATATTTTTATTTTACCCATAGTATTAAAGTATAATATCTTTTATTTTACTTACTTTATAAAATAAGTTCATATTTCTCCACAAAATTTGTCAACAGGAAAACTAGCTTTGGATAATTGACACTGATGTCTTCTGGAGTTTTCATGGGTAATCTAAATATAATTGTTAAGGAGTAATAAACTAAATAGCTGTAAGAAAAAATTTTTAAATTGGGGGAAACTTTTTAGCAATAATTATATGGCATATGTACTAAAAAATAGTTTCCCAAAATCTTTGGTAATTTGAAACCATAGCATTTTATGAAATTAAGTGGTGAAAAATTTTGAATATCTAGATTATTTTCAAATAAGAAAAAATCTGAAACCTTAATTGCTAAATAAGTCTAAGTTTATCTAATTTTTCCTTTCCATCACAGAGAAACTAAAAGATAAATTTGGATCTTTTAACGAATATGACTTATGCTTTATTGAGGAAGCAAATGTTTCTAAAAAGTATTATATACATTTGCCAGTAAAAGGACTCATGTTTTCAGAGGCTATGAAATGTATTCATAAATCTGCCGATCAAAACAATGCTACTTGCTTATTTTTAATTTTCATAGAAATTAAGGTTTCTAAGGGTTAAGAATTAGAATTCTAATAAATGTGGAAGGAATTAATGTGTATTAAGGTACAAGGTATGAAAATGTATTTTGAGGAAGTTAAAAGAAAATGGTTTGTCCTGAAATAAGTTGGTCATTTCTGAATGGGTGAGAGAACAGGAGACAAACTAAATTGGGCAAGGAAAGTTGTTCAAAGTTTGCGAG